CTTTTGGTGCTTTTTTTTTCCATTGTAAATTAGAAACAAGTAGCATCCCAGCTTCTGTGATCACTGCAATAAACGAGACAACTATTCTTGAAGTGTCTTGTAAAAAAATTCACACATTATCAGGAGAAAGTGTTAATAGGAAATTTTACCTTTTTACTTGTTCAAATATTCAAAATGTATTCCAAGAACATCCTCCATATGTGCCAGGGGGAAGGAGGCATAGAATTACCAAAGCTTTCACAGTTTGGCAGCCTGAGCACAGAATCTATTTGTCTGGTGTTTGCTTTGCTCATGAAAATGAGGTTGTTTTTATACCTTCAGAAAACAAGTATGTAAAAAAAACCAACTTCACTAAGTAGATTGGCAGAAGTAAGGCCTCCTGTGAAACCCATTGAAATTGGTGGAAATAATTCTATTGACTCCCCTATGGAGTTGGATTAGCTCTTTTAACTCTTCTGTAGCAATTTTTAATACAGTAATCCTTGAAAAATTATTGCCATCATCCACTGCTTCTTTACTTGATAAATGGAGTTAATGACTGACGTTGTGCTACCGTGCTTGGTATAGAGGCCAAAAAATGTTATCATTTCTTTGGTATGTGTTGACAGAAATAACAGCTATTGCAAGCTGTCTCAACATAGTCATTGCTGTCATGTATCATGCCTTGACTGCCACCAATCCATGTTACAAAACCAGTGGTCCAGTCAATGTTTACAAAATCAGCTCAGATCAGCTCTTCACTTAGCATTTACAAAGAAGCTGAGAAAGCTGGAGCTGCCATTTCCAGTCTTAACATAATTTGCTGTGAAAATGACCAAACATGGGATCAGCTCAAGTTGCCCAGCTATCTGCTGATGTATCATTTGCTTTAGAAGTTTGGGTACCCTGCGGTGTTACATCAGCATCACAAGATTTTCTGTCCAACATTACTTTTTTTTGGTAGTATTTTTGACTATGTTACCACAAGTTCTAGGTGTCAACCATTACAATTGTTCATCTCCATATCTTAATGTTTTAAGTTTTGCATCTGAAAAAAGTACATGTCAAAACAAGTGCCATTTCATCTTCATCCTTTCAATATTTTTTTACTTGATACTTGGTTACTTTACACCTGAGTACATGTATCCATCAAGTTTCAAACATCCTCATTGTTGCACAACTATGCTACCCTGCCTCCTCTTGCCCCACTGCAATGCCAGAACAGAGTTGGTTAGGAGAAACAAAAGACTTCCAAGAGCTCAGAGCCCTGTCTGTATCAGTAGATGGCTGCAATCTGCACAGCACTCAGATCGTGGACAGATAGCCGAGTCCAGACTTTCAGAGATGTTGAGCTTACTTGCATATTTGCAAGAGAGGTGTGGCAGATGTACTGATAACCAGTAACCTAAGGTATGTGCTCGTTTTGTTCACATCCCCTTAATTGCCTTACACTTTTTGGTGTCTTTTTTTTCCACAAATTTGTCATCCATCTCCACATTACAGCTTCAAGCTCCAACATCTTGGCCTTTTCCAAAGAACTGTGCCAAAGGGAGTGCCCAGTGATCCCCATCTCATGTAGCTACAACTGGCTGCCACTCTCACCATGCCACTCTTGACCCAAGAAGTATTTTGCACTGGCAGATTTTGAGCTTGTGTTAAATTAGGTCATAAATTTGTCCATAGTGGTTGTGCCTCCAGAATAGGAGTCCACTTGTAGAAGTGAGGAGAAGTAGCATTTTGATGTGCATTAAATGTGAATCACTTCGTATTATTTTGTTAGGGGATGAGATCCACTGTTTTCCCACAGCTAAGGCACACTGCTCCACAGCAGAATTATTTTTCAAGGCCGTTCTTCCTTTTCATATTTTATGATCTTTGACTGCACATCCAGAGCCTTGGCTTCCTCCCCAAGCAGCTGCCCTGCCAAGGCATTTGAGTTGTGGCAGTTTCTGAGCTGGAGTTTCCAATGTTTGAAATCAGGAACTGGGCTCAAACCATTCACCAAAAGCCTTTGGGTGGTAGTGATTTGTAAAAGCCCAGGACAAACATGAGTTCAAGTTCTTTGGGCAGAAGGGCCATTAGCTATAACCACCAAGCAATCACGTTGTGTGATGGCTTTTAAAGGAGCAGTTAACACACAATGGCTGACCAACATGAACTCCATCAGGGATGACCAAAAGCTTCTCATTATGGTAGGTTATGTCAATAAAGATCACAGATTTTATAGACCCAACAGAGAAACTACAGCCATATTCAAAGAGATGTAGCAATTCTCTTGATTGTTTCATTGAACTTTTGAAATACCATTCCCCTCTTTAAATGCCCCTCAACCCTATTCAGACTCCTCAGGTAATTAATTGGTTGCAGAGTTGTCAAAGGTCTGACCGACACCCATCAAATCCAGGAAATGCAGGCATCTCAAGCACTCCCCTGTTACCTCATGCTGTTGTACTTAAGGTATTACTGGGGACTACAAAAAGTGCACGACCATATATATACTGTACCATATGTTCACAAATAACAAAGCACAGCAGCATGAATTAAGGATAGGATTTCAGTCCTCGTAATGAAGAGTCTTGCTTTTACGAGTTCAAGTCAGACCCCTAACATTATTTTAACATAGATTTTGCTGTTTAATTATGTAATAAGATTTACTGCAGTCATCTAACAGATGTTGATTCAGGGTCAGTGTTTCTCATAAATTAGTTCTGAAAGGATTTGTTACTTCTGGGTCAGCAGATAGGTCCAGAGTGCAGAGAAAAAGAGGAAAAACAATAAACACTGAGTTGAAGGGTTTCTTGGGATTCTTTCTTCAGTTACATATCCACATATTTTCATGATCTTAATGACTATGGCCACAGGAATGTTTGCTTTAACACTAAAGATGGCTCAGCCCAAACCCCTATAACCAAACATCTGCAAAGCATGGGAAAGTTCAGACTTCGGGGCTTTTTATTTTATGACCCTGGCCATTAATTTCTCATGCTAATATGACACATTTTTTTCTGGGGCTGTGCACTAGGAATCACTGTGAACTCTAGCAGCACCCAAAAAGTTCTATCTTGATGCATCTGTTGTCAGACTTTGTGTGATGCGTAGCTAAAGATTAATGCTGGCTGATGTGTTTGCCATCACACATGTATGCTGAAAATTCAGCCCTCCCATGCCTTTGGAAGCAAATCTTGCTATACATGCTACAGTTTGACCTGCCTATAATCCACCCTGCTGGTGATGTTATCCATAATGTAATTAAAAACACACAACATTACAGTCATTCTTCTATAGTTGTGGTTAAAGGAGATACTCCATATTAAAATATTTTTCCACTCCTCTGTAATTTAGGTGCAAACAAATTCCTCTGAGACTGAAATCATACTTGTTGTATCTTTTTCTGCTGCAAATATTTTGGAGGAAAGGGATTGAGGCATATTTAACAGTGTTGCTTGCACTTACAGGGCAGTTTTAGCCTGCCAAGCGTTTTACAAATGCTGGTGACTATTCACAGTTCTCACACTTCAGGGCATGAGAGAGCAAGTGATCTTCCTGAGGCTGCACTAGATGTTATAGCTGTAGGCAGAACAATAACTTTGTTCATTCATTCAGCGCAAGCGAAGGCTGCCCAAACTATAAAACCTTTTGCTGAACTTAATCGCCTCTGTCTTGGAAAGTTTAGGGGTTTCATACCTAAAACACTCCTCTAAGATGAATTCCAGCTATTAGCAAGAGCACTGAAGTATTTCCCTGAGCAGCAATCATACAGTGGCAAACGACGAGCCCTGGACTCCTCGCAGCGATGATGTGCGAGAGGAGGAAGCGCCCGCGGCCAACTGCTGTGTGTCGGCCAGCAGAGCAGTGCTGACCCTGCTCAGGTCCCGTGGGCCCCCCAATCTGTCCCTGCTGCTGGGGGGGCCCTCGCCTGTGCTTCGGTACTCATATACGTCTGTATTGCAAGTGCTGTGCATTTAAATAGCAATTTCCAGACTTGGGCTGAAACTCCTCTTTTTCAGGAGTAATTCCATTTAAGTCAGTGGATTTACACAATGGATTTACTGCTGCCAGAAGAGAATCAGGCCTGTAGAAAGACACGCATTCTTTGCCAAGAAAATCTCAGAGCTAACTACTTGAATTGTGCAGTCGAGCTGCAGGGAGGTCAAGTGGACAGACAACAGGACCAGGACACACGGGAAGTCCCTGGTTCAAGCCTCAGCTCTTAGAACGATGCACGGTGTGACCTCTGGCAAGTCCGTCCGTCCCCTCATACCTCTGTTTTTCCCCATTCTCCTTTGTTTGACTTGTCTGTTTAATTTGGAGTTTGTCCGACGAAGGGTGCTGCGCTTTGTGTGTTGGGATGGGGCACTGACACCTCTCCTCCCCTCGCTGGGGGCAGCCCCGGAATTCTGTTTCTCACTGACCCTCTGCCCCTACAGCCACAAGCAGTGCTACGGCCCCATCAGGGCGGCGGGTCGATCTGTCGCTCAGGGGCCTTAAAATGAAATCTTCATCCCTTGGAGTGGCACTGAGTGACTGCAATGAATTCAGCTGGCACCAAATGTGGGTCACCGGCATGAAAAACCTCACAGACTGGAATCTGCACACTTGTGTACACGGGTGTGGGTTTATGTGTGTGTTTTCCTCAGGAGGCAGTCAGGCTGAGGACCAGCCCTCCCAAAAAGCCCCACCTGTGCCTTTCGCCTCTTCCTACAGCAGCTTGGTTGTTATCAGTGGCAAATGTCCAGAGTCACTTGTCAAGCACAGGGCTGCCAAAATCATTAAAACACAACAGTCACCTGTACCAGGCAGTTGTAAAACTGTTTCAAAGACGCTCCTTCAAACATCTTTATACTTACAGTAGCCTAGATAAAGTCTTGTATTTCCTACGTGCTTTAACAAACCAAAGGACAGAATGAGATGCTGCAATCTGATATTCTTGCCCTTTTCTGTTGTGGCAACTCACAAGCGTGTTTGATGGTGAGGGGAAAGGGAACAAAGCAGGTGGCTAATGGGCTGTTTTTCTGTTTCAGTGGAGCATGACAGAGAGTTTCACCATCAGCGCTGCCACTACCGAGAGTTCAGGTTTGATCTCTCCAGAATCCCAGAGGGGGAAGCAGTGACGGCTGCCGAGTTCAGGATATACAAGGATTACATCCGCGAACGCTTCGATAATGAAACGTTCCAGATTAGCGTCTACCAGGTCCTCCAGGAGCACCCAGGAAGGTGAGTGACCCACGGGGAACTCCTGATAAAGCAGAAGCGCAGCAGGTTCCTTCTAAGGGTTATGGCCAATAATGTTAGATAAATTGGTGCCGTCAGCAAAAGGGGTTTAGGCATGAGGGCTGTAAGGTGAAATCTCAGTGCTAACGTCAGCATGTTGCTGCTGTGTGTGCTCAGCCCCAAGGGCACGGGGTGACGGTGCCCTGGGCAGGAGGACACCATGGGTGCGAAGTATTTCAAGCTTTCTCGAAGACCTGCCCTATTCCTCTTGCTGCTTATGGATCTCAAAGTGGTAAAACCACATCTGAATGCTTCCTTTCTAATTGTAGCTTAATTGCTAACCTTTATTACCGAAGGCGTTTGAGAACCCTAATTAACAAAGACAGATGACACCATGCTCTTTATATTGACTGATTGTTTTGTGTGTGCAAAACTACAAGATGAGCTATTAAATCCATTCCAAGCAATTATTAATGTATGCCAAGCTCCCTGACAAATCCTCCAGGGAACCTGAATAAGAACATGTGTTTAATTTTCTCATCTGTTTTTAGTTCCAATTAATCAGCAATCTCAAGCCAGTTATCAAAAGCACTTAGTTTCACTGGCACATATTTCTTCTAAGTACACATCCTACCAAAAGTGAGGTTACATTTATTTACATGGAAAGTATTCACAGTCACATGCTAGTCAGAAGTTATTCTTTAGGACCATTAAATATGAGGTAATAATACTACAGCCCTAATTTAGGTTTATGAAGAGAGAAACACAAGGGATTTAAAAAGGGGAAAGTCCAAAATGGTAAGAAACAATAGTGCAATCAGGATTCTGGCTTCATAGTTTTATAAGAGGTAATAAAAATGGGAAAAAAAAAAACAAAAAAACAACAGTTTTGCATTTTTGATCCATTAAAATACGACAGGAGACCTTATCAACATTTTTAAACGGTGAGACATTCAACAGACTTTGTTGTGTAAGTGTTTAAACACTGGTGCGTGGGTCAAAACTCCTGGCTCTTCAGTATTTCTAATGACACTTCTCACAGGGTTTTGAGGACTGGGATAGTATTAATCTGTTTTTATCAAACAATAACCTATACATTTCAACTAGGGTTTGTAAAAGGAGATGGCAACACTCCACAAACTGCATAAGACCTCTTAGACTCCTCTTACCACTAACATTTACGTTCACTCCATCTTTGGCCCCTATGGAGACAGAAGCCTCCTTTTGCTGTATTTCTTCGGTAGGTCATGAAGGTAAAAGCCTGCGGGGAGAACTTTTTGCTCTTGGGAAGAGCAGAAGGAAATGTGCTGGCAGATGCGCAGTGTGCCAGGTCTGGAGGGAATGCCAAAATATTCTTGGAGTAAATGTCCTTCCTCATCAAGATGATGCCAGGGATGTTCTCCTTCATATCCTGATTAGTGAGGTGCTCACTAGGAAATCTACTGACAGAACTGAGTGTCATCGTAATTTTAAGATGAAAGATCCACAGGTTTGTTGAAAATATCCGCAGAGAGGTCTGTGACGTCCCTTCAGGGGATGGCTATGTGGATACAGCTGCTTGGAGCAGCAAGTGTTCCTGAGAGCTGCCTCCTCCACAAGTTCTTATTCCTAAAGGAAAAAATGCTTGCAAAGGGCAGGCATCTACACGAACCACTGGGTGGAAGAGGTGAGGAATCTTGCTAATTATACAGATGTTCCAGCTACAAGATTAGATGCAATTTTACTGCATCATATTCACCACGGGAACATCTTTTTAAACGAGTGTTCGTGCACATTCACCCTTTGCATACATTTTGGCACAGACAATGTTGAGTTTTGAACAGTTTGTGCTGAAAAAATATTCCTATTGGTTTGGATTGACCAAAGGTAAAAATATTGTCACTAGCATTTGTAAAAATATTTGCTCTTTTTCTGCATTTTTCCACTGACATTTTCCAACCAGCTCTGTCACAGACCAGTCATCCAAGTGAGTGTGTCATTGGGCAAGTGGAGAAAGAAAACAAACTCTCTCCAGTGTTGATCAAAAAACACCCATTCGCTTTGATGCTTTCTTGGCTGTTTGTCTCATCCTGAGCAGGCTGGAAAGTCAGCCCCATCCGAGTTGTTAGCAACAGGAACAAAACAAAGCCAAACTCTTCCCCCCGCCCCCAGGCAAGAAAGCCTTTGCTCGCATTTTGCTTTGTTGATTCCTTTCCCTACAGCATGGCAGGTATATTGGCCAACAAAACAACAAATGGTTTTCCCTCTCCCTGTGCTCTTAAGGTGACAAAATGGCAGTGGCATCTCCCAGCAGATTACTTGAATTGCCTTTCAAGATCTGAAAACCAAGAATTTCTCCAAACCTGTGCTCTCCCACAGAGTGCTCTGCATTCACTGCTCCTCCTGCAGCACGCAGCAAGGATTGGGATAGCTTCTAGGGCCCAAAGTAGTACATTTAGCTGGAAAGGCAAAGTTGTGGCTGACTGGGGATCTTTTATTAGAGGATGAAGAGACCACTGGATGTGCTGAAGGCTTGGATTTCAGCTAAACCTCAGATAAGCCTCCAGTTTTGAGGGTGTGCTGGTGTGCCCTCAGTTCAAATAAACCATAAGTACTAGCAACTCAACAATTAATTACTTACTTTACAAGTTCAGACAGGTTGACAGGTATCTAACCAGCAACGACTCTGTCTGCAGTTTACCGTGGGTGAAAATACAGCTGTAGGTCTTTAGATAGATGGCTGCACCCACAACAGTCCGTGTCTGAAATTCTCTACCTCAGTGATACTGACACTTGCACACAGGATGGAGGCTCTCGCCTGTCTGCCTCACCCCATGGAGCCCTGCTCCCCCCTCTGTAGCAGGCTGCATGTCCCTCAGGACTTCGTCTAAGATAAATCATTTCTGTCAATACAAAGCTATAAACACAGGTGTTTATAGGCAAGCAGACTAAATGACCAAATCTTTCTGGTCTTTCCAAATCTATGAATTCATTGCAAGGCAAACTTTTCAAACTAGTAACATCTCCTGTATAAAAAAGCAGGTACAGCATTCTTTAGGCACAAAGCAGCAGTTATTCACTGTAAGCAAACAAGTACTTTCATGAACAAAATGTTCCAAAAATAATAAACACTGAGAAAACAGTCGATATTTTGACTAAAATAACAAGTCCCAAAGCTTTTGTGTGCACAACTTCTGTTTGGCCTTCATGGTTCACTCACCCAAGAGCTTGGGAAAGAGTTTCGTAAAGTCAGCATCTGGGCTGAGGAAGGTGCAGAGCAGTGGGACATGGAGTCCTGCTTGGGGTCACCAACCTTGCTAGTGGGAACTAAAGGCACCAGGAAGCTCCCATCAACTTCAAGAGCTCAAACTTGCTCATCTGTCTGCACCTTCCAAAGCTGACATACCTTATCCCACTTTCATCTTCAATTTCAGTGAACCCAGCACTTGCTCTGTGGGGTAAATCCCAACCCCTTTGAAGTGGATGGGAGTTTTGTTACTGGAAAGAATAAAGCCAGGTACTTGACCAGCCTTTAGTAATCCTAACGTAGTTGTTACACGTTCCCTTTGTGGCCATTGTGGATTTCACAAGCTTCAAAGGCAGCCAACGATTTGAATGCTCATGTTACCAGCCCTACAGAAAAATAAGGTCCTGCACGATGCATTCCCAGGTTTAACTTGCAGCTGAAATGCTTTAGTTTGTATTCCAAACTGAGCCACTTCTGCACCCAGATCAAACCTGAGCCCCTCTCCAGAGTGCCTTCCCTGTTTATGGGGATCTGTTCCCACATTGTGGGTTGAAACATGTAATGTTAGTAACTAAGATGGGCTTTGGTCCACCCAACAGAAGAGGCAGATGTGCCTTCTTTTTGGAGCTTCATCAAATACCAGTATAACTGTTCTAGGAATTGTGCAGTGGAGAAAGATACAGTCTAACATAGCATCCCAGCACCAGCACGACACCTGCAGGTACTCTGACAGCATCTAGAAAGGTACTGACAGTAGGGCTGATCTTTTTTTGTGTGTGATGTCTGCACATTGGTCAGTAACTGTCCTCATCATGTTATGCTTTTGGGCACAGCAGCAAGGGAACTCCGGCATGGAAACCCCGTGGTCTTCCAAGGATAGAGCTGCACTTACTTGTCTCTTTCACACCATTCCTAAAAGCCACTGCAGCCTGCAAAAACCCCTGACAAGTCCTGAACTCACTGAGCAAGTACAGCTCTTCACAGGCACTTGAGTAGCTGCAGGAGGCATTCTGCATCCTCCAGTGGGCTCTTCCTCAGCTAAGCAATGCACTAATGGACAGCAATTCAATACAGCAGAAACATCTGTATATGAAGTGTCAGAGATACGTACATAACCTCATTTCTCTCAGCACTGTTTGTACAAGGGGCTTCATAAAAGCTCCGTACCAAAGTCTCCCACTGCCATTTTTGATGACCTTGAAACCTAGATCTCCTTCTCAAACACTATACAGAAAAGGGAGAACAGTAGTGGGGACATGTGAGACAGAACTAAGAATCTGTAGAAGTGTTTAAATGAATTTTATTTCTCCCAAGATTCAACAAAATGTACACAGACCTGTCTTACCAGCATCACAGCCCTCGGAAACCACCTCCAGCACTCTGTGCTCCCTGCTGGGGCCATGCCTTCACCTGGGGAAGCAACAGGCTGCTTTGCTGGCAGCTGCTCCTCTGGGAGCATGAGAGGGCTTTTACCAAGTGGGAATGCAAGGGAAGGGAGGGCTGGGGATGCTGGGGCAGTGTGGGAGGAGGGCTGCACCGGGTTTGTGTTGTCATGTGCCAGGGAGAGGCCCAGTGAGATCCTGGGGCCCTCTCAGAGTAGGAAAGTCTGAAAAATATTTTCCTAAGCTTGTCTTTGGACAGCTGCAGCCAACTTTAAGCAATGACACCAAGCAAACTGGAATCTGGATACTGCAGTTTTTTAATCCAAACAGATGTCTTCCAACCCCAGACCTCCTCTCCCCTTCCTGGGATGCCTTTTTTGCCTTCTCCTGCCTCCACTGCTCAAACCTGGACATGAATTGCCCACAGCGCCCATGCCAGCTTTGCCTTTGGGCTATCCTTCAGTTAATTTGCCAGCTTGCACCATGCCACTGACCTAAGAAGCTCCTCTAAGGCTATAATACCAGTCAAGAGGATAGGATTGTGTTCCTGTGGTTTATACACTCAGTCAGTAAGACACTTAACATACCTGTGCCTCCAGCATTGCCCACTTAAAAACTGAGGAGGACTGACCCATACTTGTAAAGCAATTTGAAGTCCAGTGCAAGGTGTCACAGTATGGCTGTTGTTTAAAACACTGCTCAGACAGCAGGTTGGGATCAGAGCTGAGCAGCAGCTGGACAGCCTGAGTGCACTCCTTGTTGTCAGATGCCGACAGGGACTGCAGGACCTGCTGGCTGGCTGCTGCCATCAAGGCTTTCAGCCTACCGGGAGGGCAGCACAGCACAGAAACCAGCTCACTTTGGGTTGTAATGAAAGCTGCCAAGAGCCATCTTCTCTTCTGCTGCCTGTGCTCCTTCCTATTTATTTTTATCCCATTTGGAAGTGCTTATAAGTGTCAACCAGCAGCTAGAAATAACAGAGCTGAAAAAGAGGATGGGGAAGGTGAGTGGAGAAAACAGAAGAAAAGCAATATATTCCTTATCACAGTATAAACAATAATTGCTGAGTTTGATCTGCTCTTCTCTCTTGCTATTGTAGAACTGCCAACTCCTAATTTTGTGGGGTCTCTCCCATTAGCCTCTGTTCTTCCTCCTGCCCCAGCCCACCAGGTCTTGTGTCAGAAGGATGTTACACTTTTGATTTTGGGATACATTTCTTCTACAGTTTATGGCTACAAACTAATATGTATCTGAGATGCTGAAAACATAAGCCAACAAAAGGCAAAGATGATTGTTAATCCTTTCTCTTATCTTTGACTTAGTGGTGTTGCCACACAGCTGCTCTCTGGCTCTTCCCTTTCAGGGTGCTTTTACTTGCCTTTTCTTTGTTTCATCTACCCTTACTGCTCTGAACTGCACTTCCTCCTGTCCTTTCCTTATCCCACTCCTGCTCACACAGCCCTGTAGCAGCTTCAGCCCTTCCACATCCATAACTCCAGCTGCCTTCCAGACAGTCTCAGGCGCATCCTCCCCTGGCTGCCTCACTTTGCAATACTTGTTATTCAACCTTCAGTCCAGAAACACCGAGTTAGCAAAGGACATTTTGTAGACCACACAGCAATTATGTGACCTGCGGATAAACTTTGGGCTGTGCTTTCTAGTGGGAGGTGTGTCTCCTTTCTAGTGTCCAGCACACCAGAACTACTGAAGCAATCAGCAGACAAGTGCCAACCTCCTGTCCTCAGCCCTGGCTGCATCGACAGCCCAATACTGTTTGGCCTGACTAAGCTGAAAGCCCTGAGTTTTATCATCTCTAGTAGCTTTGACACTCCCACTGATGTAAGCACTTTGAACGCTGAACCATTTTGATGTGGTCTCAACAAAACATACTTGTGGTCTGGATCCAGACTTCACCATTTATGTAACTCTAATCTAGACATTAACATTTCCATGTCCCAGCTTAATTTTCTGTAAAATGAGGATCATGTTTCTTTTTGTATCTCTTGGCCTGATAGAAGGCTCAGTGAAGTTTCCCACATGCTCTGAATGTCTCAAATTAAGGGATTGAACAGAGGTACAAGGAACAAAAGCGCATCTCTGCCTCCTGGTTGTAAAGCCATTATTGATCCTGCTCCAAGATCCTGCACACAGTTGCTAGGTCAGGTACCAGAGGGTAAGATGTGCACTAGAAACCTTTTCTCTTTGATTTAGATCTTTATCTCAAATCAAACACCACAACCAGTCCCATCAGACTTAACTAGCACTAACTTGTGCAACAACTCATTAATCAGGAGCCCTCGGAACAAATTTTAAGACTGAGTAGAATAACATTTCTTTGCTGTGCTGCATACAGTTATCCAACACTGCTGTCTAAAGGGATTGTTGTCTATTAGCTAGTGATTCAACGCTGTTTAGCCATAAGTCTTTAGGAAGCAGGGCATTTCACTTAAAGGGAGGTTGTTCTTTTGAGCAGAACAAGAGGTTCCTTTTCATTGGAACCTCAGGTGCCACAAGCTGAGGAGTGTCAGATGCTCTGCTTGCAAGGCCAGGCAGCTTTGTCATCCCAGTCCTGGCTGCTGATGGGCCAGAGTTGATAGTGCAAATCCAAGGGTGCTTGAACTTCTTCAGGGAGCATCTGACACAAGGACTTTTTGGGTCCAAATGTTCCAAATGTGCGTGGGAAGGACATTTCTCCTTAGTGGGTCCCTTTGATCTCTCTCACTTTGGGCTTCCCCTACAGGCCTATTGTTTGCACATTGTTGTAACTACAGGAAAACAAATGCATTATACAATTTCCCAGCCTGACTCACCCTGGTACTTGATGCCTCATGTTGTCTGGTTACCCTGATTGCATCATGTCAGCATGGGAGGCTTAAAGGCTGTTTTTTCTGAGTAATAACACTGAAGTTGAGCAGAAGTGAAAAAAAAAAATGCATGTACATCATTACTGCTATTATCTTCAACCTGCAAACTACAAGGGAGAAAAACCAAGCAAGCCAAGTCCCTGTTAACTAACCCTTGTGTGAATCATGAGTTCCAGTCAGGGGCCATGCTTAAATGATGCATTATGTGAATATAAAAGTCCTTCATTTCTGGAAACTTGGACTCAGCCATCGGAATGGCCCAATCCGTACTACTCCCTCATCTCCAGCTCCTCTGGGATGCATTCTGCTCAGCGTGTTGTAAACAGGGAAGGGCGGGAGGTGTCCGTGCGGCTGTGTCATGCACTATGGGAACACAGCCATTGCTTCAGGGTGGGGATGGAACCCTGGGAAATCTGCACGCCCCCCAGGTCTGAGCTCAAGCATCATGCATTCCTGTCACTACCACAGGCACAGAGGGAGGGGGGTATCTGTAATGCCTGTTTCTGGCTGCCCTAGGTGTGCCCAGCAGAGCTGACAGCTCCAAAGAGCAAATCCCACACCTGGGCTGATCCTCTCCATCGCCTGCACTACAGGCCCTTCCTAAGCCCTGGCTGCACAAACGTCTGCCGAAGTGTTCCGTGTAGGATCCTGTGTCCTGGCAAGAAGACAGAAAGTTCAATTCTCACGTAGGGTTTCTTTCACAAACCAAAACTTTGCTGAAAAGGAAGCACGACACAGAAGTGCTGGGCAAAGGGAGGCATTGCAGTCATTACCTGCGTCCCACAACCACCGAACATCTCCTGCAAGGATCAGATCTGCCTCTTTGTTCTGCACTGAGCTGACCCAGAAAGCCTGCAGTCCCCAGGCTGTCACACTCAGCACGGGCAGAAGCAACACATGCAGCTGTGCTGTATGCAGAGGCTAACAGTGTCATGCACTGATGAGGAAACAACACAGTCCTCCTTTTACACGTTTGGTGCTGTGCTCACATGCTCTGTGGAACTCATTTCTGAAGTTTCATTCCATGAGAGCCAGCCCAGAGCCAGAGGTGGTGACATCTATGAGCTCACGGAGGAAAGCCATCATCCCTCACACACCCTCACCCACGAAGGTTGAGAGGAGAACTAGGTAGTAAGCTAGCAATAAAACTCTGTTTCTGTTTTGAATCAGTTGTGTGGGACAAAAGCTTCTAATCTTTCTGTATCTCCCAGGGAAAATAATTACTAAAATCTGAAAGGCAAAAGCCTCTATGCTGACAGCTCTCCTCTGATTCACTTTTGATCACTTAATATTTTGTGCAAACAGAAGCCACTGAGAAAACTAAGTTAAGTAAATATGCATTTGCACTAACAAATCAATAGTGACAAAATTAAAAAGGCCTTCTTCTAGCTCTGAGGACACGAGTAAAGGGTTTTCCAAGGATGTATTTTCATTCAAAAGGATGTAATTACACTGAAACAAGTTATCACGTTAGTGCACTGCAGCCCTTGCAGGACTTGTCTAGGCACTTCCACCCTGTTTCTTCTTGTAAAGTCTTCTGTGAAAAGGAACCACACTGCCATCCAATTCTGTTACTATTTTCAACAAGTTTTATCTCTTTCTTAGCTTCTGATAAGAGAAGATTCTTTCCTTTCCATGACCTGTTTTTTTTCTTCTCAAATTTTCATTTTACAGAAATTTGCCAGGAAATGTTTTGTAAATCCAGAACGATTTCACCCTTCCTAAATGCATGAAATCCTCTCTATTACTGATCTGGTTTCAGTTCGACAACCTGAATAATCCAGCAGTGCTCTTCTAAGATTTTAAAGAACAAATTGAAAGGAAATTGCCATCAATGTAATGCAAACCTGTGACTGTGCAGAGGGTTATTGCCTCAATCAATTATCTGCAACCTCAGATGAACAAGTTTAAAAAACCATTACATATGTTAATATATGCACGACAGTGTTCCAGCTGGCTTGCACTAGTGCTACAATTATGCATAAAAGTCAGGAAATGATGTGTGGAAAGGATAATGAGCAGCATTGTCTGCCCAATTACTAGGTTTGCATATGCAAACAATAATTTTGCAAATCTGTGCCTGGCAAGCATTTTTTCCAAAGTCGCATCAGCAGCTCTGAGGTTAAGTGCAGCAGCAAAGTAACCCAAAACCACCTCAACTCTGCTTCAACCCATCCTCCCTTTTTGGAAGAGGAGAAAAGCACTTCATATGAAGGTGATTAGGGAGCAAAGCACGCCAGCCCAGCTCCAGAATAACCTGTCTGCTCCTGAAAGCCAACCAAGCGTGTTGCGTAAGGCACGTATGTGATGTCCTTAGAGGTCCCAGTGGAAAGTCCAACTAACTGGGAGTTACACTTCTTGTTTCAGGGATTCTGATTTGTTCCTGCTCGACTCCCGAACGATCTGGGCTGCAGAAGAGGGGTGGTTGGTGTTTGACATCACTGCAACCAGTAATCACTGGGTGGTGAATCCACAGCACAACCTTGGCCTGCAGCTATCTGTGGAAAGCATTGATGGTGAGTTTCAAACTATGTCAGTGAATATCTGTTTTGGGTATATGGTCCCAGTCAGGAGAAGCCTTCAGCATTCAGTATTCTGTCCTTTGAACAGGATCTCATGAGAATATTTTTCCTGTATTCGCTTAAGATGTGAAAAAGACATATTTCAAGTTTAGGATGTACTCAAATGCTTTAGCAGATTAGTAATCTGTGTGCAGTCTTGTCAGTATTACTATGTTTGGAAGTGCACACAGCTATGTGTACACTGCTGGCAACAGAGCACAACAGAACAACTTCTGCATTTCTCCAGGTACAGTTGTGATGATTGAGAATGGATGGGAAAAGCTGGCTCTCAAACATCTTCAGAAGGGCTGCACAAAGATTCAAATTCCACTTGGTTTAAAAACTATCATAACTCTTAAAACTAAAAGAGTGAGGAAGACTGAGCCAAGACAAATTCAACCCTGTTTTCAGTCACCTGTCCTTGCTTTTAATTTCCAGTTTGCCTCCTAAAGGAAATACTTGGGATTACAGATATGTCCAGAGTGATGGCACATTCATTCAATTCAGGTTCACACAGAGGAAAATCATACAGATCCAGCCTAGTGCCTATGGAAAAGCAGTAGCTGGAGATATGCTTAGTATCTCTGAACTCCATAGACACTACAGTATCACTCTCATGCTCTTCTGCTCAGAACACCTTATTGCTGCTTTGCCCAGCCCTGGCCCAGTGTTCTTACAGTGCAGGTCAGTCTCTTTTTCATTACTGAGGAGAAACCCAGGTAGTTGTTTTCTTATAGGCTACAGATTTCACTCGTGACTTCCCAGGGTCCCGCATACAAGGAAAGGCAACAACACACACAGCCATGGGATGTGCTGAGCTGGAGCAGTCAGAAGTGGACCCTTAAAAGCATAAGCCAAATTTCTCAGAGCGAGTCTTCAAAACCAGAAAATCTGGGTTTCAATGATTTGTGCATTCTCATCTGTTACATCACTCAAAGCAAACCAGGAATCTGGTTTCTCTTTACACTCCTGAAAAATCCAGCTGTGTTTATAAACATGTTTGAAATAATGTAAAAAATAAGTTGCTGCTTTCTCAGAATAGATTAACAAAATACTTTAATCAGCCTGTCACTGTAGTTAGGAAAGCCAACTGCAGCATTCAGAAAGTAAATACAGAGATACAGAGCCTGATTGTCTCTTGCTGTTTGTAACTGAGTCCCCTGGCAGCATAATTCTGCTCTCACATTTCTCCACCATGCATGTGAATTTTTCTTTCTATTTTGAATGGCAAGGACATGTCCTTCCTTGCTCCCTAGATTTTGTTTTGGATTTAGACCAACTGCACACTGACAAGAGAGCTGCTTTTACACCTGGATTTCATATGAAAATCATCTGCTGAAAGCACAGCAGGGCTTTGCTGGAACGCTGTATGCTTGGGCAACCCCCAAAGCTTTAAGTGAGAGATCTTTCATTTGTATCTGTCCCTAAATGTAGAGATCTCCAACCATGAAACCAGTACAGCTTCCATTAAAAAAAATAATAATTAAGTGACATCCTGAGTATTGTCCAGATCAGATTACAGATAAGAAATTCAGTAACTGATCATTTCTTTATAATCTTGCCAAATGAGTATCAACATGTATAACTAATGTGGAATCACAGGGTAGAATTTTACTCTTAGAAAATGGGGATCAGCTCAAGCAGCAAACAAGAAAAATATTGGAGTGACTCAGCTGCCTGCAGAGCTTTCAGCCCTGCTCCAATCTGCCTTGCTTGGCACCAGCAGTTACCACCTTGGGTTTGCTTAAGCTGCTGCTTGAGATCCCATATTTGACAATACTAAAAAGCAGCTTCATAAAAGCAGGTCATCCTTTGCCCTCTGGTTCAAGAGCACAGCTTTAGTTCTTTCTGGAGACATTTATCATTGCTTATAGGGGACTTACATACGTGCCCTCAGGTTTAACTTCACTACCTGGTTCTAACACTCTTATACACCCAAATACAGGATTTTTCCACTCTTTTTTAATAAAATGAATTCCCATTATTATTAATAATAATAGAAAGGAATACACTCCCATACAGAGCCTCTTTTCCCTTCAGAAAACATTGGGGCCGTACTGGTCTTGAACACATCGGTGTTAAATAAGGAATTAATTGCCCAGATGCTACTTATTGTTGCATTAATGAAAACCCATTAAACTTAAATTTCTGTGTGAAGTCCAGTCACATCACTGCATACCACTGACCTAATCTCCAGATACATCGTAAAGGTGAAATTATTTACCCTGGAAAAACCACAGGCACAGAGATACCTGGTAGATGGAACAACTTGGGAAAACAAAAAGGCTTCTTTGAAGGGAAAAGATTTGCCTGGGGACAGTATTCATGGAGTTCCTTCAGCTGAGTTTGCTTTCAGGAAGTAAGGCTTGGATCTGGCAAAGCCCAAGGACGAGTGGAACTACCTATCTATTTAGCATTGGGTACTTGCTAAAGCACTTTGTGCATCAGCCTCCTACATTTCAAATGAAAACCAGGCACATTTCCAGATAGGAGCTTAGACTGAAAGTGAAGAGGTTGATGTGTGTCTACACAAAAGTCTTCATACATGACTTTCTGCTATTTCAACCTGACCTGTCCTGGTGCCCTGCCCAGGAAATTGTTCACAGGGAACCTAGATGCCCTCACCCACCATAAACCTCTCCTTGCTTTTTTTTTTTGTAAACAATTAATTCTATAGCAAAACCACTCAATGAGCTTTCAGCAAAAATAAAACTAATTTCAGAAGCGTGGGATGAAAGAAGCACGCCTGGTGACGAATGGCTTTGAACCAAGGTTATTGGGTACCGTAGTGCTGGGATACAGCAATAAGCAAAACGTCTCTGAACATCTCAACTATTTGTTTCTCTCAGCTGCAGTATATCTGGAACTCTGACAGTCTTTCATACAAGGCATTTTTATTTTAAGTTAATAACCTTCCAGTGGGCATTTAGTGCTCCTATGGGCTGAGTTTTATGGTTCCTTTTATAGGATCACTTCAAATTATAGGTTGGTGAACTTAATGAAACCCCTGTAAAGAATGTAGGAAAAGTTAATGCTAAGCGGATTTAGGGTAAAATAATTATACGTAGGAGTATTTTATGTAACTTTTACATGCAGATATAAAATGAAGTTAGCTGTGCTAAGCTGCTCTCCTCAGAAGTAGCTTTGCCGGTTAAGTCCAGCCCCTTGATGGACTGATGCATATGGATGTACATAGGAATCACCCTTCTGGACCAGACAGCAGCTCTCCCTCCTGCTGTACTTACAGTGTCTGCCGAAAATGGAAAGTTAACACAATCCTGCTCAATGCTGTGTTGTTGTTAAGGGCAAAGCATCAACCCCAAGCTGGCAGGGCTCATTGGGAGGCACGGCCCGCAAAACAAGCAGCCCTTCACGGTCGCCTTCTTCAAAGCCACTGAGGTTCATCTCCGCAGCATCCGCTCCACAGGAGGGAAGCAGAGGAGCCAGAATCGATCCAAAACACCAAAGAACCAGGAAGCTTTCCGGGTGTCAAACATTGCAGGTACAGGGAGGTTTGCGGGGTGTGGGATAATGCTGTGCTGGACTTGGCACTACATGGGAACTGTTTCTCCCATACTTGGTGTTGGTTGTTATCTCTTTGGTTTCCTGCTAGTTTTTGGGTGCTGGTTTGAAACCACATGGGATTAGGAGTTATTCAAACAACAAAACAAACAAACAAACAAAAAAACAACACAATTTTTCTTTGAAACAACGTAGAACTGAGGGATGCCCCAACCCAACTTGAAAAAGAAAAGCCATCTACACAGAAGCTCTCACACAAAGTAAATTCTTATTTTGAAGTGTAAGATAACGACTTTAAAAGAAGTAACATGAGTGTTACAATAATGTATTTCAGAGGATCTGAGCTGAAATACTGTAGCTTTTCAAAAGGCTGAAATTTTAAATGCAGCCACCCAAAGGCTTAATGATCCCAAATGAGGAAAACCCATTCTTTGCTCAGGATAACTGCAGCTATTCTGGGGGGAGCTGCACTTCCCTAATATGGAAGAAAACTGTCAGGCATTTAAAATAGAAACGTGGTTTAATTATGAGATACCTCAGCATAACGGGCCCTCAGTGACCTTCCCAGCAGGACCCAGAGCACAGGGCTAGCTCCGCTGAGGGCAGCAGTGCATTCCAGCTCTATTTCTGTGAGCACATCACCAGACAAAGAGCGTGCAAGAGATGGAAGAAGCAGGACAACCTCGGGCACAAGACATGACTTGCCTTTCCTGGAGGTTGTCTGGGGCAACCTGCAAGGCTGTGGAACAACTCTTCCCTGTCAGCTGTGTTGCAGCTCCCTACTTTCAATCAGGTCATTCCTGTCCGAGGACTAATGATGTTTTTTTCTGCAGCTCTGGAGACAGGTGTGGCTTCTCTAACCTGCCCACATGTATGCATTTCTGAACCTTACACCCCAAATCCTTGAGTCTCTTAAAATGCTTTTCCATATCTTGCATTTCTGAGCTCGGAGTTTTGCAGTTCCCCAGGCAATTGCTGCTTTGCAGTTAAAGTGTGCATTTTTATTAACTGATACATCAGTTGCTTTTTAAAGCATGGATGAGGGATAAAATAATTCCTTTCTTCTGTGAGCAGGTCAGAAAAGCACCTGCAAAGCAGTGTCTGCTTGTAGCCTGGGGCCCCTGTGTTGATTTCATTTCCAACAAGAGTTAGGAAAAAAAATGTCTTCTGGTACTTCTCCTAGGTCTGTAGCTCACGCTTTGTTCTTTGGGTTTGCCATAAAGCACCATCATTCACTCTGACTGCAGCTGCACAGGACAGAAGAACAGATTTCACATTATGTCCTAACTCTGCTTTGTATGCCTGAAGGTGCAGCTATCCTGCTCAGACAGCTTGAAGCATAGGAAACAGTTAAAGGTTGCTTTTCTCCTATCCTTTCACAAGTTCTTTTCATACAGTAGGCAATAATCAAAGAGATCTGGTTTGTGCCATCACGAGGTCAGAAAAAACTCGGGGGCAAAAAGGCATTTTCCCAGGCTGCCTTTGGCCAGAAGTGCAATTTATATTTTACGACTGCAGCACAAAAGACTGAAAATGGTTTTTAAAAAACAACCAAACAAAAAAAGCATCAGCAAGCACAACAGCTGAGCAGTGCAACTCCTGTTGTGTCAGCCCAGCCTGACAGCCCCTGTCCCCTACAGAGAACAGCAGCAGCGACCAGCGCCAGGCCTGCAAGAAGCACGAGCTCTACGTCAGCTTCAGGGACCTGGGGTGGCAGGTAAGGGCTGCACGCCTCTGCAAATGGTGCTTCAGGCTGCTAGAGAGATCAAGCTAATAACTGGATTTTTAAAAATTGTTATTATTATTTATCCTTGGGGGAAAAATTACATGCTGCATTTAGTATGCTGAAAAAGTGCAGTTAGGATATCCAAATATTTGGTGTGAATGTGGCCAAAACTCAGCATGCTTAAGTCCTTGTGAGATACTGAGGGCCCTGTATTTCCCTCTGGCAGCACTGAGAGCACACCCTCCAACAATTCTTTCAGACTTGGCTAAAGTGTTTTCATTTCTGTCAGTGATGGGTGGGCAACCGAGAGGACAGTGCTGCATGCATAATAAAACTAACCCTGAGCTTCAGTGACTCCATGGACCCGTCTGCAAGGTGGGACAGGATCCTGTAGGAAGGGCAGCTGCTTTAGAGGTGTATAAGACAGCAGTAGGAGGGCCAGCATGTCCGATTTTGTATTTTGCAAGCACTGTAATTGTATGCAGACATAGGAATTGATAGATTTATGTGCCATTCTACTTTGTATTTCTCTGCACAATATTGCTGTCTTTCTCCACAATCTAATGTCTTCAATTAATCAAGGACTGGATCATCGCTCCAGAGGGCTATGCTGCGTATTACTGTGAAGGAGAATGCGCTTTCCCATTGAATTCATACATGAATGCTACAAATCATGCCATTGTGCAGACACTGGTAGGTGCAACATACCTTTTAGTAGAGTTATTTCTAATAGGTGCTGCTCAGAAATAAGTTTATATCCCCCCAAATCTCTATGCTAACAAGAGAAGGAAGGTCTGCATTAGCTCATTGAGATGCCTGCAGCATCTGGCTAAACATGTCTAGCCAAGTGGCCTGAATTAATAGTTGGCGAGGAATTACCCTGTCTTTGCTGCAAGCATTGACACGCTCTCTCTAGCTTAAAGGGGCCCTATGACAGACATCTTAATGGTTGTATAGCCCCACTGCATGGGGAGGGAAGAGCAGGATGTGAGACTCATTACCAGCATCTCTTGAAAAAAACAACCCAGCACTGCATGCTGCCTCCAAGAGCAGATTTGGGGACAAGCTGAGGAAGGGGTCAGCAAAACCCAAAATTACACAGCCCAGCTGCTCTGTGGGTGTATTTATTTTATGCAATTGTGCAAAGATGTCCAGATGGGAGTCCTGAGCTGGTGCATCCACACGGCACAGTGCCTGTGCTTTGAGGGACCGCTGCAGACCCCAGCTGCTTCATCAAAGCCAATGCACCACAGCAGCTCAAGTGGCCAGGGGACACACCAGCCCCAGGTGCCCGGCTGCACGGCATCCCCAACTGCCATGGGGACATCCTCCTGACACAGCCATGTCCCCTGCATGCATCAGTGGAGCATGAGGAGGCTCTCTCCTCTTCTTCATCCGTGTCCTATGCCCTGTGCACATCTAAGGGCAGCACTGCAAAAAGCAATAGGGAAGCTAGAAGCATCCACATATCCACAACAAGAAGCTTTGCACGTTCTCCTCCTGGAGGGCTGTTTACTTTCCTCCCTCTCTTGGAGGCCCTGCAGCAGCAGCCAGGGACCCACAGCCCTTGGTGCCAGCCGGTACTGGGCCCCCTGCACAGCGCCTGTGGAACTGCTCCCAAAACCTCACCCGCACGTCCTGCAGAGTTTATTGGAACTGGTACACTTCTGCAGAACACTGGCTGCTCTGGCAGATGGGAATTTTCTAATGAAAACCTGCTTCACTGAAAGATTTCCAACTAGATCTGACTTGGGTGCGTGCGTCAGCCTCCATACATGCAGGGGACATCTCGAGACATTTGTACACAAAGCCAGGTGTTCAAAACATGTCTGTGTGTGCTTATGGGGGAGAGAGGGCTGCCTGGGAAACAAAAACATGAGGGAGGAGAAGGGAAATGGAAATCTTAACATGCTTCTGCTTTAATTCCCCAGGTTCACTTTATAAACCCAGAGACTGTGCCGAAACCCTGCTGCGCTCCCACCCAACTCAATGCTATCTCTGTGCTCTATTTTGATGACAGCTCCAACGTTATCTTAAAAAAGTACAGGAATATGGTGGTACGAGCATGCGGCTGTCATTAGATTTGTAGGAAAGAGTAAGATTATTCGTAAAGAGAGTTTTGTATGGATGTGTGGGGGAGGGGAAAAGTTAGCAGTTAGCACTGCAGCAATGAGCTCAAAAATCCCAGTTTTTAGGACTGGGCTTCTGAAAGTTCAGACAATGGAGCAGTTTCTGGATCTAAGTGGCATTTGAACGCATTTTGTTTTAGTTTATTACAGACAATGAGCTTGTAAACTGAAACAAGCCAGAGAAACCATTTAAAACCAAATCTGCCTACAAAATTGGCTCCTACGACACATACTTCTGCAAACGAGTCTTTCAGAAGATTGCAAATTCACCCATGTTGATTGTGAATTAAAAATTAATAATTATCCAAAGTGAGAATGTGCTGTGACTGTTGAGCATGTGTAGTTCCTGTAACACAGTTTGCAATAAAAAAAGTGAACAAAATATACCTGGAGTGAACAGGTATTTTGTTAGAGAATTATTACTTCCATCCCTCTGTTTGCTTCAGTTTCATAAACAGAAGCAATTTTAATTGGATGCAAGTTCCGGTTTTAAATGGCAGGAGAAGAAGCTATATCTGAATTGAATGGAGTTCAAAAGGATAAACCAGTCTCAGGAAAAGAACATCAATATAGGCAAGCAAGAGAAGTGAAGAAAGTAACTCCAAAGAACAAGCCTTTTAGTATACTTCAGTATACTTTTTTTTTCCTCAAGGGAAAAGAAATTCCCTGTATGTGCTACGAATTTGAAACAGGAAAGCACAACATTAAGAAACAATTTGGGATTAAACCCAATGCTTAGCTGAGGTACCCCAATCAGCTATGGAGTTGTGAAAGACAGCTGAAGATCCTCCTCCTGTTTGGATAATATCCATTGGCTTCAAAGACAGAACAAATTCCAACACCTTTTCAAAGACGTGGAGTCAGAAGGTGCTGTGAGCAGAGACAAACTGCCAGCACCACCCCGGCACAGCTAGGGACATCGCAGGGGACATTACTTCCCAGGGTCAGCGATTACAATAGAAGACACTGCTCTACTACTGCTCTCATCTCTGAAAACAACAAACAAGCAAAAAAAACAAACAACAAAACCCCACAGCAAACCAACACTTTCAGAAGCCAGATCAACAAGCTGGAACCAGGGACAAGAAACCACCCCTTTTCCTTCTTCTGAAAGCACAGGTTACACAAGCATCACGTTTATGTAATTTAAACTCCATTGAAGTCGTTCTGATAAGAATACAGAGTAGCAGTAACCAATCACAGGCTGACTCAAAACTTGGGCATACATTAGAATTACAAAAGCAGGACTGGCTTGAGTTTTACTAGAGAAAAAAAAGTTCTGTCCAAATAAACACCAGGTCCTCAGCAAACCCAGCTCTAAATCCTCAAGCTTCTAAAGTCTGGACCTCCAACAGATGGGTCCAGAACATCATTAAGTGCCTGGACTTGGTTCTCAGTGTGCTGAGGAGATGTGATACAGCCGCAGGGGAACTCAGCCCCAGGTCCCTCCTTCGAGAATGGAGAGAAAGAAGATAACAGAGTGCAACCACGAGAATTTGGAAATCAGTCACTGCTCCTCTTCCTTTAGTCACAGACCAAATCCAGACCAGATGGCTCATTTAAAAAGCAAACAAACAAGTAAAGGAAGAAAAAGATTACCCTATGAAATAAATTGGAAACTCGTTTCTGATGGTCTAATTCTAATTGCATTTAAGTCAATTGGTGTTTTCCCAACAGTTCTCTCAGCAGCAGGATTAGGCTTATGGGACCGTGGAAGCCTCTCCACGATACTGGTAGGCTTTGGATCTCCAGACATGCCCCACTTCCAAACCAGGCAACTCAGACACGTGCAGGAACGGCCCACACACCACACAGCTGCAGAGGACTTCCACCTGCAGCAAGGTGAGACTGACTGAGCTGTCACCCACAGCCACAACTGCTGCAGCCAAACACGTCTCCCTGGAGCCTGCAGAGAAGACCATCTACAGCAGTCACGTCAAAACTGCCCTCAGGGCATTTCTTAGAGGGAGGTATTGAAATCCTACAGGTCAGAAGCATCCTTGGACGTTGTATATGTATGTACACCAGTGTTTCTGTAAGCCTCCTAAAGGAAGGTAAGGTGCTACCTAGAAGTTATGAGCTAATCAGACCTAAACTTCCACTATTTAGTAGTCAAGAGTTAGTTTTTCTCGCAACTGTTTCTGTGTTGGTGGTCACAGCATTGATGTATTGCATTTTTTTTCTTTTAACTTGGACTGCAGTATCTTGCTGTATAGGATTCATATATCAAATATTATGTGGGGATTGTTTGTTTGTTTTTTTCCACGTAATAGGATTCCTGTTGCTAGGCTTAACATCAGCTTCACTGTTTGTACATTTTTATGTAAATAGTTGTCACAAAGCAGAAGAATTATTTATTTCCATCTCTGAATTCCTTTTCAATCACATCCAGGAAAAATGATTCTCAGTTCCTAAGCACATTTGTTTCCTTATTTAAGAAGATATTTATTAACAGTTGGCAAAAATGCATACACATTTCTGGTTCTTCTCATAGAGCAGTTGTCAGAAGCCTTTTGTACAAACTAGTAAAATAAATCATTGCAACTTTACAAAAGATATCCAACAACATCGTGTATCTGTGTGGTTTTTCTCCCTGTATTCAAAGAACCTTTTTGGCTGGGCAGTGTTTCACCTTGAGCATCTGTTCCCATGTCGCTCAATCTCTGTGTATTGGCAAAATCAGCACGTCACTGTTTGGTGCAGATCCTTTTGCCCAGATACAACAGAGGAAAGAATATGAAAAAAAATATGAATATGTTTTGCAGAGTGCATTGCAAAGATCTATGATTGAATTATAGTGCAGCTGTCAGCAGCTGTTTCAAAGAAGCGGGGGGTAAATTAGTTCTGTTTACTGCTAACATAGTTCAGAGATTTAGTCATCCCAATAAAATTATAGAGGCACAAGGAAGGAAAAAAGAAACTCCAAAGGAACATCAGCCAAGAAGCTGACATTTTCTAATTTAGATTGTTTTAGCATATTTCGGAGATGCTGCTGGCAGGAGGTTTCCTACTGTGGATACCACATTGCATTGCTATGGAGGCAGCTGAAAAAAATAACGGTCTAAATTCCTGTATTAACTAAACTTTATATATTTGTGGCATAACAGCAATTTTTGGGTTCTTGTTTATTCTGAACTGTGAGCAGAGTTGCGCCAGTTCACATAAATGCATTTGCTGATCCAGAAGCTTAAACTGTCAGCTTTCTGGAGTTAAACTGTCACCTTTCACAAGTGATTATATACTCATAAGTTCGCATGATGTTCTGATGTAAAGTCCAGCAAAGTGTGAAAGACCTTTCTCGACCTAACTGATGACTACCCAGGCTTTGTATGTCTTGGTTAGTCTTATGAGGAGAATCTTCCAGTATTTCTCAGTACAGACCAAATTCTCCACACCCATTTAAGCCAGATGTGGCTCCAGCAAAGGGATGAAAGAAGTAAGACATCATCACGCCTTACAGCGCCAGCCTCACCATATAGCAGCCAACAGAAGCTTCACCACCAACTTCAACACATCCAGCCTTATATCACGAAATACCAGTTGGTTTCCAGCTTTGCCACAAACACTCACAATTTGCTGGAAAGGCTTCATAGCAGCTTTCCCAGACCAGGAGCCAAAACTCCATTCCCAAGTTCACTGCAGCCTCTGTCAGTCCACAGCGCTGCTGCAGCTTTGTCTCTTCATCTACTGTTTTGGAAGAGGAACTCTTGATGTGGATACATACGCTGCCATAAACAGGCAGGGCCATAAAACTTGAGTGAACCAGCTTCAGAACTGCTGGATTTATCCAAGTAATGACATTTTAAAGCACATTTATAACATTTTATAGATCAGTTATTCTAACTTGATTTCAAAGCCAAACTTCAAGGATGTTCTGTTTGCTTAATTGTGCTGTTTTAGATCTGTTCCAATTCTGACAATAGGATCCTTTGGTCCTTATGCAGGAAGCTGCCTCTGTTGCTACCAAGGTTCATATAATATGAGATAATGACTTAAGTGAGTCTTTGTGTAAATTTAAGATTTCTGATTTCTATAGAAGTGTCAGCTGTAGATCCTAAAAATCAGATGGAGAGCAGGGCTGGAACAAGCAAAGTGGCAGTGCCAAAGGCTGTGGGGTTTCCTTTGCAGCTCTATTCACCCCGTTCAGCTCCACCTGCAATGGGAACAGATGCTTCTGGATGAAACAAAACCAAAGACTCATCCTTGGAGTTCAGAGTTTGCATCCTCTGCATGTTTCCATCCAGATACCCCCGCCTGCTGACTTCCATAGCTGCCACAAACACATTACTCACTGTATTCAGCTGTTCCTTTGGAGAAAAATACTGCCCAATTAAGTTAAAAGGAGCCTGTTTGAAGTTTTTATTTATCAGGTAATGATTGACAAGAGCTTGAGGCAAAAACTGAGAGCACTTTATACTATAATCATCCATTACCCAAGCACTTAAGCAACACAAATGGGTTATTAAGGCCACTTTGAGTTACTCTGTTCTAAATAAAAATATTGATTCCCTTTTGTTTAATGCAGCAAAATTTGTATTCCTAAACCAGAAGCAAAGAAAGATCAGAAGTTTTTGATAACACAATGGTTTGTTTCCCAGTATGCACATTACTGTTTCCCCAGGGGCTTCTGACCAGGCACTAAGAGAGTTTAATGCTTTGAGACTTATTTTGATACTACGAGGTTTCCAATTAATTCCATAAATGAAGAGAGCACAGTCTTTAGACAGCTTGACTTGGGTTTTATATTCATCTGCTTTATTTTTCTCCCCCCTTCCATCAGAGGAAAGTACTGGGGGAGCAAGGGGAGAACAGGGGGCTATGGTTTCAGTCCCATTAAGCCGTAGAAAGGTAGCTTCATGCTTGGCTAATTGTCCAGACTGTTTTTGTGGGCACAGTTAAGCATTTAACCATTTGCAGGATAAAGCTCTATACAGAGCTGCTTGAATTAGCCTTGCCCTCAAAGAATTGGTTTTGCTTGTCTGCAGTAAAACCCAATCCCAAGCCAGTCAGCAATAATTTGGGGAACAGAGCATTTCTGTCTGGAGCTGAGGGGTAAGTGGCTTTATTTGCTGCAACATCCACATAATTAGAAACATGCACTTACCCTTTCTGAACTGGAAGCTGAAGGGACTCTGCAGTTAACAGTTCTGTGCTGCTGATAACTTGGGCCTAATGATCTTATTTTAGGTAGCTCTTAAGACAAGGCAGGGATCCCAGGCCCCTGGCACATCCGTCATGCTTTAGTGTGTCAGCACCTGGAACTCAGGCCGAGGACTTCAGGCTGATGCTAAACTTCCAAAGCAGCACATACAGGTTTGGGTGGCACTGTAGCTGTGGGAGCCTTTTATCCCTTCATCTCCATCACATGAACTCTCCACAACAGTGGGCACCGGCCCTGGCAGTGGCCAGACATCAGCAGTGACACCGGCAGGGCGACCTCTGCCTTGGCTAATGAATGCAAACTGTTCCAGGCCGCTGGATTTATTCCTCTGCTATTTGTCACTGCTGTGTCAGGTGCTTCATGTAAAATACATGGAAGCAGAGAGATGCAGTGTCTGGATTCTGTTAGGAAGGGTCAGAGCTCAAAGATATCACTTCTCAAGTCCCAACAACGTAAGCCATTTTGTTTGGCGCTTGTAACGAGCTGTAGACGAAAGCAGAGAGGTCGCAGGCTTTACATCTGTCTCACTTGTGTGGAAGCACTACTCAGCCTCAGAAAAGGTACTTGAGAACAAATTCCTCATTTTAGAACCCAGCTTCTACTGCATACTGTGCACACAGGGAGGAAGCACACATCAGCACACTCCTCTAACCCAAAACGGACTAGCATAAGGTTTTGCTTCTGATTTGTTATTAATTTCTCAGTGACCTTCTGCAAACAGTGACCAATATTTGGATTCTGAATCTAAAATTGTTCACTAAAAATCCAGAGAACTGCATTGTTCTTCCTTAACAGAGAATGACCTGGCTTGACTGCAGTTTTAAGACGTGGAGATAATTACTCCAACGCCTTATTTTACAAAACCTCAGGGCTGGAATTCTAAGCAGACAGTAACTGGAGGTACTGCAAAGCTCCTCACTTTGCAGCTGTACAATCACGTGTTGAAAGCCAGACCTTAAGGTCTCTCTTGCAAACCTGGCCAGCAATTTTGGGGGAGAAGTAACTCAACATTCATGAAAGCTGGGCCTCCGTTGACTTGGAGAAATTTTAACCAAGCAATCTTTATCCTAACTGCAAGGCAGAAATTCCATACATCCTCTCTCTTTTTTAAATAAAAAAAACTGGAGTCATACACAAATGATTGCGAGTTCAGTCCATCAGTTGTTTTGGTTTCACATGACTACTGAGAAATCAACTGTAAAAGCTAGTGCAATAATATACACACATACCATGCACAGAACGTGAACTATAAATATTGGCAGGGAGTCTGGTTTAAGAAGCTGCAGTTAATGTTGTGTTAGAGCAGCCCTTGGAACCCCTATTTCCAGAGATTTATACTGCAGGGGGTGGGGAGGGAATAAATCCGATTTTGCTGGAACATTGCCTGCAACTTCTCAACCATAAAGCCTTTATTTATGGCTGTTACACAGCATGAAGGATTCAATTTGTCCTTTGTTATGAATTTCAGTGGATCATAACTGTTTATTTCCAGATTTTTATTTTAAAGTTGGCATCTTTGGTTTGCAGGAAGACAAAGCTCTTCATAGCTCATTCCAGGGGAGGTGTGCTCAGACCACACTCGACAGAGATCATAAAGCATGGTCCCAAAGTCCAGCAATATCTACCGGGACCAGAGGCAAGTGAGCAGTACTAATGGGCATTTGTGAGCTCAGCCTGATGGGGATGAAGGCTAGGCTGCAGACTGAAGTACACTCACCCAAACCTCCACCACGTTTGTTGGCAGTGTACATCACTCAGCCACAATCTCACAACTATTTCAGCCTTTAACCAGGTATGGCAGACAGTTCCCTCCAAGAGCTGCGAGAACTGTTATGATCCTTCCAGCATCACAGCAATGGGTGGAAAGTAAAACCAATCCAAGGCACAAATGGCATCAGCCCTTCCCAGTTTTATATTTCCTGCTTATAATGGCAGCTGAGAGCAAGATGTTCAATAGGAATCACTGCAACCAGGGTGAGCTGTGTGACTTCAGCAACACTTGGCAGCCCAATTCCTCCGCAGTAGCAATATGTAGTCACAATTACAATCCTATTAATTAGCACTTGCAAAGCACCATCTTCAAAGCCTTTTTATTAGCATTAATTACAAAGGAAGAAGATTGCAATTTGCATTCATCTATTTCTTGTTTCTCATCTGGCTCAAGAATAAGCCTTGAGAAACCCGTTGTGTGGGTAAGACATAATAGTCCAAAGTTAAAAGAAAAGGAGATCTCCTTGGGAGATGGGTGAGACTAACAGCAAATTAAGACTGTCACTCCCATCTGGAGAACATAATAATTGTCCTACAGTCTTTGGGGAAGCAGATCTGGTTTTCTGCCGCAGCACCTCTCAGACAGTAAATGAACAAAACATCTCTGCCAACACCACAGGATAC